GAGCCATGGTGGGCCAATGAGTAAGACATAGCTCGCTAAACTGGAGTTCTCGATTTCACTCACGGTGTTGGCCAAGAAATTTCCAGCATTATACCCTCTTAATTGTTAGTGGTGCACGAGAATGGACAATGTATAATCGTTCAGAAGTGACGAAAGAATGATTTCCCATGTACACATTGGCATGCACATCAAACATCCCTTGGCAGTTGGAATTCAATATCAGAGAAGGCTGTAGTGCTGCTGTCCGGGCAAAATATCCCTCATAGAATACTGTATATTGTATGCCTGTCTTCACATTACCAAATGATTGTTTTTAAACCTTTCATTGATACATTATAACAATAATGTATTCAGCCTTAAATACCTTTACTGTTAAACTATTTCTTGCTGCTATTAAACATCACAGTCCATCATATATATCCAACTCATTAGAAGGTTTCAGTAAAATGGTCTGGTATTTTTAGCCTATCACCTATGGCTGTAATAATTAACTGTTGAGATTAGGTAACTAAGATATAAATCTTTGAACTGTCAAATCAAGGTTTTCCAGTATTATTCATTACATAAGATGAGATCACAGACCTTATGATCTAAAGGGCACATGCAGCCCACCCAACCCCCTATGCAATAAATTTATCCAAAACCAAAGTTTCAATAATTATTCCGGCGTTTACCTGTACTTAATGGACTTTAATTACAAATCCAACTACAAATGTTTGATTAAGAATTCACTAGCTGTAATCAACATTGTAATAAACTAGTTACTCTACCTACATGTCTATAGAAATAGAACATTTGTCCAAAAAACAAAGTTTCGATAAATATGCAGGTATTTACCTGTAGTTTATCAACTATAATTACAGATCAAACTACAAATGTTTTTATCCTACCTGTAAGATCAAGATATCACTGACAAATTGCTCTACATAGATGCAATACATTTGTCCAAAAACAAGGTTTCAATAAATATGCAGGTATTTGTAGATAATCAACTATAATTACAAATCAAACCACAAATGTTTTAACCTACCTGTTAGATTAAGATATCACTGACTGTAATCAACATGATACTCTACTAAGAAAACCGTGGTATATTGCTGTGGTATATTGGTTTAACAGTTCTTTTACTTACTACAATCCAGATGTTCCTCGTCTCACCCATCTTATTTATCTTATACTAAGGTCACAAAAGGTCAACTAGATTCCATCTCCAGAAATATCAGAGAATATAAACTACTGTCTTAAAGTACAGCTGCGGTGGCGCAGGTACATGCATGTTTTATGTTCGTTTTCAAGTATTTTTTGTTTTATGTGGTATATCTTTTCGATATCGAGATATCCTACAGCCTATTTTTGTTTCACTGGAGTATATAAAGATTAAAGAAGTTCTCTTTGATAAAGCATTATTCTAATATATATCAGTCATATCAAACAGAATCCAGGGAAAGAAAACAGACCACATGTATTAAAACAAGATAATGTATTTCTAATGGCCATAAAATTTTCAATTTAAAGAACTATTTTTCTACCTTCATTGGAATAGAACTTGCAATTCAAAACCCTTTTTTCTGCCTTCCTTCAATACAACTTTCAATTTAAAACCCTTTCTTTTCTGCCCTCATTGCAATAAAACTTTCAATTTCAAATACAAAGTCCTTCCACCCAATTTTCATTCTACTTCAAAACATTACATAATTAATGTTGAAGAATTTTTAAAGAAGATATACCAAATTTAATCCATAAAAAATTGTTGAAGGGAATTTAGACCATAATACAGCACAATTTGTCACTCTGATGATACAGAAGCCCTTCCCTGCTAAGTAATCCCCCGCTCCCAAAGTACATCTTCCACAACTATTTTAAATTTCAATTTTCCACCATAAACGAAAATCTTTTTTTTATTACTGCAATCTATTCTTAACAAGAAATGCATAAACACCAATTTGAAACGCTGATCTTTTTTTATGACCATGAAATGAGTTGTAGTTAGGTAAGACTGTTATTTAGATATAGTATATACAATATAAAGAAACCATGTGAATAAATAACTGTGTTGTTGGAACTTCTCCATTATATTCACAGCAGGCCGTGTGAGATTTATTTACATCACAAAATATCAAGAAGATAAATGGAATTAGTTTTTTTATAAGATGGAACTATTACTGATTTTTATAAGAAACAGGTAACTAGGAGAAGCAATACAAATTTGTTTACTCTTGTTAGTAGAAATGTTAAATTCTTGTGCTAATGTAAGAATTCTCTATACATGCACGCTATGTAGGTTATTTAGAATAACATGTATTTATCTCCACAGTTTTTATAGTTATCCAATTAACAGACTATAAAACATCTTTGTTATTATATGGTTATATGGAAATCATAACAGAAGAATGTTCGTGGTAATCATTTCTTTTTTTTAACCCCCAAATCGTCTTTGTAAAGAGCACATAAGCATATTTGTGGCAGTTGTGCAGTATAGACATGTGTTATTATAAAAGAGATAATTTCTGAACAAATTCAATGGCAAATCAAGACAAAAGTACAAGTAGTAGCTCTTTAAAGAGATGATGTCAAAGAGTTAGATGTAGAATGGATAATTAAAGGTGTGCTGGTTTATGACTCACGATTGGGATGTTGGGACACGATGCTGTTGCAACGAATTAAATAATGTTATCTTTATGATTCATCAAATAGAAGGCCATAGCCATCTAGGTGAGCTTATAATTTCCTAATTCTATTATACTCGGCATGCTGCAAAAACATATTACCATCCTGTCATAATCTCTGAGCCCTATTATCTCCTCCAAACACATCTCTCCTAAATTACTTTTACATTAATCAATGTTAAGGCAAGAAGGTCTTATTCTTTAAGGAAACAACAATAAGAGTTTAATATAAAAAACGAAATTGTCATGTTTTAAATTAAAATCTGTTTTATCTAGTATTCATTTCATTAAATCATTCGCTCTTTTAACCCGCTAAGATAAGATTTTATTCTAACTAAACACTCCATTTAATTAAATATTTTTTTTATAAAATGTGAGTCATAAGATGCAGGCTTCACTGAAGTAAAAAGTCACATTATATTTCAAATTTAATTAAATAAAATTCATTCCTCTATTAAATCTCCTACAAAATTATATAATCTTGATATAATGATTATCACAACTATAAAACATTTTTCAGTGCCGATTAAAGTCCCAATACGTCGTTTTAGCATTATAGAATCACTTGCAAACTACAATTACTAATAGGCATATCAGTCCAAAAATGGCTCAATTCCACTCAGTATTTACAAAGATATGTGGAATTGAAATTTCACTGTGCAATAAGCCTGTCACCATTTTGTTATTCGCAAAAATTTATTGATAGGCCTTTTTAAATCCGACTGAATCCGAGCCAGGACATTATCAGCTGCTGTTGGTTTTTCGATTTGTTTTCTTAATCAATTGGTACGTAACCAATCTGAGTACATATCAGCGTGGATTCAACCATGAGAAATTTAATATTTTAGTGAAAAATGCAAATGGCGCAAAAGGACTTTAAGTTACATTATACAATATTTATAAAAATTTGTAATCTAATATTTTCTGTAAGTCTTACAAATTAATATCTACTGTTCTAGCTGACAAATAACTTATAAATATTGTATTGTATTGCAGTGTATTAGCAACAAAGTCTTAATTAAATATTTGAAAAAATATATAGTCTTATATTTAATGAAATAGTTTTCTAAATAAATTGAAATTCAGCATGTCAGCATAATAAGTTGCTATCCGGAGGCAGACAACCATTGAATTTCACCATCTCGGTACCAATGATTTGTACATATAGCAATTCTTTCTCTCCCCTTTCTCATGGCCATTTTCGTTGATAGACATTGAAATTTATGGGAAAAGTATTAGTGGTCTGCAACCATCCAGAACAAAAATCAAAAGTTATCTCCCTTTAGTCATCAAGCTGCTAATATGTTCCATATGATATTTTACAAAGAGTTCGTAAGTGATCTGAATTGAGCAAATGTACCAAATTTCATGCATCACCTTTTCTGGTTTTAGTATGTCAAAAAGACTTGACAAAAAAGTTAATTGTTACCCGAATTTTTTCTTTTTGAGAAACGTTCGAAGTGGTTATTGACATCATTATATTTAAATATTTTGTCAATAATGGTAGAATGTAAGAAAAACTGCATTTTTTTTTATCTTTTCAGAATTTCTTTTTTTTTACTTGAAACTGAAAATATTAGTACATATAATTTTATCTTTAAAATATTAAAATGACTGTTTCTTAAAATAATTTAACACCACATTTGTAATGTAATGCAAGTAGTTATGATTTACAGAAGCAAGTTTCTACTGAAAATTGAGTCTTTGTTTCAACCAAATATGGTCAAATGATGTCTTTTAAAGCTTTAATGTTTATTATTATAATTTACATAAACATTAACATCTTAGAAAATTCCTTCTGACCAGGTTTCCTAGTTGTTATGATAAACAGAGTTATTCCCCCTTAATAAATTTTAGAGAAGAAACCTATTGTAGTTTTTTTTTTAATGTATCAGTATGAATTAAATTATTCTGTTGAAATGGAAATATAAATAGTGTTCTCAACCCATCTAACTGAATGACAGGAAGAGTTTATGTTCCTTTATTCGTCGGTAAAAATGTCTGACAAGTAAAATTTTCAAACAGCATCCCTGTGTTAATGTAATATGAAACATTTTAGTTTAATGAATGAACGGAAAACAGACCAACAAGTTTATTCAGAGCTCCAAATATTTCATATAGTAAAAGTAACTTCTCAGTGCCTTCTAACAGCTGAAAGTTTCAGTTCTAAAAATATTAAACCATTCAGAAGTAAATTTAGGGACATACGAATGTGGAAAGAAAAAGTTTGTATTTTCTAAGAACTAGGAAAAAGATCTATAAAGTGTCTTAACTAAAATATATCTGTGACAAGGCTCATGGGAAGTGTACAGAATAAAAATATAAATGACTTACCTATCATCATCAATGACACCACTGGACTTCTGCATACATTCTTTTACTGCTTGCATTCCTTCTCGGAATCTCTGCTGCAGACGTCTGGCGTACAAGGACGCACCACCTTCACTCATGTAACCACTTGACCAATCATCCACTCGGTTGTTTTTCAATATATCACCGTCTGACATATAGCCAGAAACATAATCATAATTATCCACGTCCGAAGCATAATCTGGATCGTTCACACTTGGACAATTAGATCCAGATCTCTTGATTTGTCCTGAATAAAATTTACCATGTTCCAGAATGGGTCTGTTGACTCCAAGCCGACTCGTGCTGCTTGCATACATTGCTTGGGTTGGAGGTACAGAGATACCGGGAATGTGAAAATTGCGACTGGACGATAATCCAGTATACCCTGTGTATCCACGGAAATACCCATAAGGCAGTGCTCTCATGATTGGGGGCATTGGTTTTATATCCATAGTTTCACCGCAATCGTCAACAAAAGTCGTACTTTTTTCTGAAAATGTTGTTTCCTTTCCAGAAGAGGGTTTATTCACTGTTTCAGTTCGTACTTCCCTATCAAATGTTGTTTCGATCTTTTCACCATGTCGTGGTTGCACAATGGCCACGTTATTTGCGGGTTTGCCTAACATTTTGACCCCCAACCTTGGAGAGTTTGAAGAACTTGAATATAAACGATCATAAGCACTAGATTCCATACCAGGTTTGTGAACAACACTGTCATTTGACGAGACACTAGTTGATGCACTTGATGATTGACTTGAAGATAAAACAGAGGACAGTGACATATTTTGTGAATTTTCATCGCGTTCATTTATTACAGGGCTCTGCATCTGAGGAGTAACAGGACTTGCAACTCTGTTCGAAAACAGAGAATCGTGAGGTTTAGAATAATTCCCTTCAGAATGAACACTATGATTGCTATTTTCTTTTGCAGCTGCATATTTTGATGATGCCATGGTTTTTTGAATGACTGACAAGTTTGTCTGAGTATTTCCATCGGCTTTTGCTACTGATCGCGATGGAGCCATCGTACAAGTCGGTTTTACTATGTTAACAGTTTGAGTCATGGAATTACCACCATGACGAGCACTGGGAATAACGATTTGACTCTTTGGAGTCCTGGATGATTTCGAGACCATATTATGCATGTTCATGTGGTCTGTAGGGGCGTGTGCATTAGAGTGTGGGTTAGCGATTGTAGCACTATGTTCTACAGCACGGTAATATGTGTTATCCTGAGCCTGAACACGCGATTGATGAGCAGGGATGACATTGCTGCTGTATTCCTGAGATGACTTAGATGCATGATGGATACCAGAGTGATTCGAGTTCGAATGCGACAACATCCCACCATTTCCATCAGGCGTTGAAGCAGGACTTGACACACCACTAGATGATTTATTGGCTAATGTTTTATGTGCGTTAACACCAGGCAAGGATGAAAATAAGGCCTTATTATGTTCTTTCCCATTTAGAGAGCTTTTACTCTTTTCTTCTTTACTTGATTTACTTGACTTGGATGACTTCGGCATGCTGAAGTTAGGCGGAGGGATCTGGGATCCTCCTGAGGAAGTTGGTGTTGATGCAGCAGATTTAGATTTTCCTGATGAAGAAGCAGACTTTGGAATCAAAGTTCCTCCTTTGGAAGATTTATCAGATTTATCTGATTTTTCTGATTTATCAGATTTGGACGTTGTTTTTCTACTCGGGGGTGGTGATGTTTTTGGTATAGGAGGAGGAGCACCTGGGACTGGGATATTGGTATTTGGAGATGGAGTCCTCGGTTGTGTTGTTGCAGGAGAAGGTGCATTAGGTCTTTTATTAGTATCTTCTGGTGTTAGGGTCTTTGGAGTTTCGCGCTTTGTGCTAAAGGCACGGACCAGAGATTTTTTACCAGTCTTAGCTGGAAGTTTGGGGCTAGATGCCCCATTGTTGCTGCTACTACTAGCACCAGCCTCTATGGAGCTCCTTGGGCTAGTAGAAGATTTTGTATCTCTTCCAGAATCAGTGTCGCTCCTTGAACTATTGGCACTAGTAGCAGTGCTATTCTTGGATGAGCCTTTTACAGCTCCCCCTTTCTTGTCCTTCTCCTTGGAGTTGAAAAATTTGAATTTGTCCAACATAGAGTTTTTATTCGGTGGCTTGGCTGGGTTACTTTTGGTAGAGGAAGTTGAACTAGTCGAGCTAGCGCTAGTTCTGTTGATTTGTTTCTCAGCTGCCGATTGGCTGCGAGCTGTCGGGATTGCTTTACCACCTGGTGTAGGAATACCACTATGCTGATGGCCCGGTGATGTGGCACGGGTGTTATTGTTCTTGGAATTACCTGAAAAGATAAAGACAATGGGGAAAATTAAATTTCTGAGTGGATTAGAATGATGACAACAACAAATTTTAAGATAATTATTGAAGTGAACACCATTGTCTAGGAGACTGTACCAGAATTTTATATCTGAAATGAGAAGTACCTTAGTCTCTGTTCAAGAAAACCACTGAGTCATCTTTTGTCTTAGGACCCAGGAGTTTAAGATAATTTACGACTACAAGCAGACAATGACAAGAACAATACAAGAGATTAAGGTGTCATATTTTACACTGTAGTTACATGTTATACAATATCAACAACCAACTCAGTTTACTAGACATTCTTAACTATATGTTAACTATATATATTAGTCCTGATTTTTAAATAAATTAATTCAACAAGAGAGAGAGAGATTTTAATGTCCACTCAACACAAACTGGGTCATTTGGGACTAACATGAGGTTTGGCAGGCAACTCTACTCCTTGTCACGTACAAGTTTGGCATCAAACCCACACCATTTGACTGAGGGACAGACTTCATATTTAAGGCACATATGCTAGACCACTCGACCACCCCCACCCCGAAACAATAGAGGGAAAATACAAACACTATAAAAGATAGTCCAATCTACCACTTGAAATTTCAATGTAGTCACTCTGAGACAAAGATTCTTTTTTAAAAAGGTAGGTTATGTTTCAATTCCTGTATTAATGGCTAACCTAATTTCTTCAACTCATTAATGCTATTTGACCAAGATATCTGTTTAGAAATAGACACACTGCCTACATGTTATTCTATATAAAGTATAATAGTATTAGTAAATAAGAATATCATGTTAAAGACAGTGATAACAATCTGTTTAAAGATCTAGTATCAAACAACACCATTTCCTTACACTTTAGTTTATTACAAGCAGGATATATTTTAAGAAATCTGAAACCCCGGGTCACAGCAGGGTCTGGGGAGGCAGGGTTTGGCATATTTTAGAGGAGTTTTTAGATGTCATCCTAAATAAGCTACTTTTTATCATCCGTATTGGCAAAGACGTTGTTTAGTCATTCGGAAGGTACGATAAACTGAGGTTCCCACGTACACCTTGATGTGCACGTAAAAAACCTGTGGAATTCGAAATAAGAGCATGCCATAGTTCTGCTGTTCGTGCTAACTTTCACCTGTTTACATGGTACAGCAGGTATGAATTACAATACTATTAGATATACATTGTATCAATTTACACCTGTTTTAATATATTACTTTATATACCTAGTCAAATATTTACATAATATACTTTACTACATATATAAACAGTATCTAGTTTCTATAAATTAACATTCAAATATCAAAATATTGTTACTACAGAACTGGTCAAAGGATCATCAAATTTCTAAATTCTTTACATATAATTTGAAGCTCCCTCCACGCCCATATTACAGTAACAACAATAAGTTGTATCGCTCCCTATATGCTAACCAAACTATTGCTACTATAGAACTAGCCATAGGATCATACATTATTTATTTTTTCTTAACACTTACATACAATTACAAAGTCTGGCTGTTTTTTATTTCATATTTTTCTTGTTTGCTGTCAAAATTTATTGAGAAGTTTAATGGACACCAGGTTCGATTTGTCTATTATAGACTAAGATAAAAATCTGAGAACTAATTCAATATTTTCTAGTTGCATTTTTTTAAAATAATTTCTAAACAAAAAATATTTCATGAAAACTTTCATCCAGTAATAATTTCTGTGTGTTCCCTGAACTTTGGTATTTAAATCTTACATGATACACATGTATCATTAAAATTTAAAAATTCAGAACTGAGGGTTGGGGAGTGAGGTGTGGAAATGGTCTCTCTCTCAGCTCTACATGCAGGTGGCCCATATGCACACCTTAAGTAATCCACACCTGATATTAACCAGGTAAAAAAATCTTGTTAACAGGTGAAACTATTAACCTCATCTGAAGAGGGTTTACTGGGAAGCTGATACGACCCATTGGTATTTGATATGTTTAATTCTTTTCTTCTCATATGAGAAATAAACAAACTGGGTATTACCAGATTGGAAAAGAAACATGATCCTTGATTTTAATATCTGATCCTTAATCGGATGACTTATCCTAATCCATGAAAATATCTAGTCTCTTAAATGAAAGTGATATGACCACTCCCCTACCAATAAGACCTCAGTCAAGGTGGTCTGCACAAATCACCAAAACTTCAAATTTTTGAAGACCTGTTAACGTCCACTCAACCTAAGCTATGTCATTTCGAAACTAACATATGGTAACATATGCTTGCACATAGGGGTCTTTAGCAGTGGGAGGAAACAGTAGGACACACAGAGATTGGGCACAGGAGACCCTACTCCTTATCGGGAGGTTCATATCATAAGCTATTTAGTCAATTTATTTATTAAGCCCATTACACCCAATAACAAAATGCTATATCATAATTGAGAAGTTTTTTTCTATCGACAACATGACGCCAGTTATATAAGAAATCAAATAATATATGCAGAGTTAATTTGATTTTTATTTTCTTATTTTGAATATATTTATTATTACCACACACATTTACCTGTTCGTTAAGAAAGATCAAAAGATTAATTAGCCCCAGGTGAAAGTGATAAAGTTAATCATAACGTATGATAATAATTAATAGAGTCATACACTGATCATTAAAACATTATATGTCGTAAACTTATAGCGAATAACCACATATACATTTTTTTATGTCATACATTTTTAGAAAATATGTACCATAATCACTTAATGTTTGCATAAAACAAGCAGCCTAAAGGTAATTTTTCTTATAAAACGTATCAAAGTTTTCTTTGATCTTCAAGGTAGATCAATCGTAATCACGAAAGTGGTTATGTTTACGAGCCATCGTAGCCAACAGCTAAAATCTGTCATTTATTTGTAATATGTTATGTTTATAATATGTAACGGTTTAACCGTTTACATTGAGAAGAAACAATAAACTATCCTAATTCTCCAAAGAACCATTTTCAAAAATTTTGAAATTATGATGAAATAAGCATTAGGTGCTGAAAACAAGAAGGGGTGGGGGGTGATGGCTTTGCGGAGATATGATTTTCCTTTTCCGGTGCAAGACAATGGTTCTGGTAAGGACAGTGCTAGTCGGTTCAGATAGTACAAAAAACCTTGATCTAGTGTACACTATAATCTAGTTCTGCTGTCAGGTCAAAATTTCTCTCATAGCACACTTATTTCATTTCATTATCCAATTTCATTTAAGCAATTATCCAATTAATTATTTTCTAATTCAGTTTCAAGCTGCTCCTTACAAAGACAAATATAATATATATGCTATTACATGTACATCACGGTATAATTTACATAACAATGACTGTATAATCAACTACCCATATTCCACAACAGTTAAACTTAATGAGAACTAAGCATTCACATCAACTTCATGTCAGTTCAACAATTTTAAGTTTAATTGTAAACTTGAAAAGATATTCTTTACCTTGTCTCGAGACTATCTTATTTGTGAGTTTGAAAATATTAAAGAAAGAGAACAACAAACTTTATTTTATTCTAGCTTGAAGCCACTGCTCATCATTTGCGGGATTTGGAATACAAAATGAAATGACATGAAATGAAATGGGGTTTAACGTCCTTCCGTTCTGCTCCGAACTGGGCTAATGAAGACTGGCATATGCCATACAGTGTGCCATGAAGAAAATTTTGCCAACTAACAAGGGACCTTTTACTTGCATGTCAATGTGTACATGGGATCTTTTTTTTTTTTTCATACCATCCAAACAACTATATGTTGTTCCTTGCCAGACCCTCTGTGATTTAGAATACCTTGCCAACTACAATATTGTGTAAGTTAAATCTCTAATAGTAATATCAGTCCAACAAAGGTTCAATTCTATTTAGTATTTACAAAGATATGACGGTCTGAACATTTTGCAACATTCTTTATCCTTTGCAAAAGATATAAACAAGCCAACATCACCTAACAGTAAAATCTTTTGGTGGGCTGCTTCATTTTAATCCAAATCAATCCAAACCGGAAAATTACCTTCTTAATTAAATATTTAATAATCAATTTGATTACATTGTTCGCGAGAATTAATCTGTGAAAAATAATATATGGTCCAAAAAATGCAAACAGCGGCTTTAAGTAAAGAAAGAAGATAACCAACTTTACCTTGTGGACGTCTTTGTGCCGGAGAAACCATTCTTATATTTTTTCCCATTAATTCAAATTAAAATCTGATAAAAACTTGATTAAGACCATAGATCAGAACACCTTGTCGCTGAATTTCATGCTTTCAGACATCTAAATATTTGTGAAAACTCTCTACTCTATATCAACATGAAAGTTACACACACAAAGATCCAAATCAAAGAATAACTGCATCACCTTTGTCAAACTGAATATTTCAAATAGCCAGGTGTTCACGAGACATTAGATATTGCATAAAGAGCACACACACTGTTCTTTTCTGTCGAGGCTCTTGTACTGTAACATTTCATTGAATAAACACAAAAGTATCACGCATAATATTTTAACAAACAATCAACTTATTCTGTTTTTTCTATATACTAAATCATTGTCTTTTGTTATAATTATCTTAAGTGTCTCAAAGAGCGTGTCTATAAATTTGAATAATAACAATGCTTATATCCAATGAATACGTAGAAAGTTCCTCAATATACGAGGTATACGAACTGTGGATATAGACAGTTCTGTTTTAATGTACACCAACAGTTTAAAAAAGATAAATGATGTGCTTTTACACTCAAATTCGCAAAGAAGTAGACTTTTTCAAGCTGTCACGTTATACAAATATTTCCATTTCTCATCTAAAATGTTATTGAAAAAACAAGTCCGATTACGGAACTCACCCTATCCATAAATATTAAAATGAAGTATTTATTCTACACGATGTGACACAATGTTGTCAGTGGCTGTAGTCCATTATTTCTACTAAAACTAAGACAACTTGTCATTGGATAAAACCTAACAAGTAA